TCCCAAGCTGCTTGGCGCTAATGGTCCCGTCCATTATCTTTTTCACATACCACTCCGGACTATCTTCGTCTAGGTCACGTCCTTGCGCCTGGGCAGCAACTCGTCTTTTTTGTTCCGCTTGGAAATCGGCTAGTTTGTCTTGGTGAACCATAACCCATTTCTTGCTCGGCGCATACGCCATCATTTGTCGTTTAGCCTGTTCAGGAAGATTCATGTACCCACGTTTTTCCATTAATTCGTAAAACATGGCCTCTACAACACGGTCGTCTCGTGGTCGTTCAAGTGCAAACCCTTCTGCAGACTGAAACGACATGGGGGAAGGAATTGGGTCAGCGACGCTAGGCGTTACAGAAAGAATTGAGTTTCGTGTGGTGGATGAAATAGAGGAGTATAGGGAATTCTGGTCAGAAGAAGATCGAGGATAAGTAGAATTGGACGGGTTGGAAACCATAGAATTGTAGAAGCTAGGTGTAGAGGAATTGCTGTCATGTTGTTGACGAGACGAAAATGTCGCGTTCGCGTAAGGACTTGGTGGCCCCTGATGATAATGATGTGCTGGAGGAGTCATCGCTGTTGTCGAAGAAGAGTTGGAAGGAGGTGGCCTTGGTCCCGAAGGATGAGAAGAATGTTGATCTTGCTGCTGAGGATAAACAGAGGGGTATTGGTGGAAGTCTCCCATTCGCCCTAATGCATGAGGGGTGACCTGCTCGTCACCTCGAGATACGGGACGAGGATAATCTGTAGGCCCCGGAACCGGCTGCCGATTCAGATCCGCTGCTACTGAATCGTAGGGTATGGAGGTAACCACACCAGCAGAATAGTTCAATCCATTGGTCGCCGTTGGCGATAACTCTGAGGGGTAGTAATAGCTGTCCCTATTGTCTCGGTCGCTTTTCGTACTTGACAAAGAAAGCCGATGATGGCTCTTGCCTCGGGACTTGGGCGGATCGGCATCTGATGATGAATATGTTTCGCCTCCTTTTGGTGTAGACGAGAACTGCGCAACCTTGGACAGTTTATTCCTCGAGAATATAGAACTTTTCCCACCCGATTGACGACCCGCCCCTCCGGACGAATTTGAAGACATGATGACACCGGGTTGAAGAAGTGAGGTTGATTCCGGTTTCGGGGATGATGAGGGAGTTGTGGGCCGTGGAGTTTGAGGCAACGGTTTTCGCTCGAGCATCCGCGGCACACGACTCTTTTGCCAGTCTATTCTTCAATCAGCAAGCCGGGAGTTGTTGCGATTTTTTTGAAGGTAAGGCTGCTGTTGTTGCTAGAAGCAGCAATCCCTATGAGGATGGCGGAGGATGCCCAACCAGGGTGTGGCTAGGCGTGTTGAATTTCGAAGGTGTAGGGCACGATGATGCAATGTTGGGCCTTCTGTCTAGCGACAGAGCCTACCCGAGGGTCCCGTTATGTAGATTGTGATAACTTCCTCTTAGCTTGCCCTTCCTCCTAACCTGCAAGCTTTCCCAAGCCTTGTACCCCTCCCAGCCGCTCGAATCACCGAGAGATACCCCACGCCAAGGCTGTATCACAAGAGTAGGTACCTCGAATGCCAGTTCACACACGAAGCAGGTACCCGATGTAAGAATTAAAATCCTCCCCTCGCTGTCTCGAAAACCGGGCGCCGAGTGAAGCCAGCTTGTGTATGTTTGATCTTTTTGTTGATTCTAAAACCAGTCAGCTTCTATGGGTTTCCTGCTGACCTCCCCTCCCCTTGTGTACGATATGGATCACGAAGGAGCTTAAAAACCCGAACCCAACCGAGTGCGCCCAATGCTAATCACAGAAAAGAAATTTTTGGAGGGGGAGAAAAACAAAGAATCGGTTCGTGTGGTGTAGGTCACTTCACTTCACTTCGTTTCCATAAAGCAAAAGACACCACACGGGTAGCGGGGCTAGCGAGAAAGATGGTTACAATCAGGTGAAGATAGGGGAAACAAGAAGGAGATGGTACCGTCAGTTAAAAGTAAGGGTTCAATCCGCCTTCTCTAGCAGAAAGCGTCTACTGTACTCGAGTGTGGAAGGTGTGTGTGGTGTTCACAGCAGGGCGATCGAATGAAGTGGTGTCAACCCTTGCCAATTTTGATCTGAACCCCCCTATCACTGCTAGAAAGAGTAAAGTCCCAGGGGCGTCCCAAGCTCTTCCTTCCTCAAAGGATGTCGATTCTACCTCAGTGAGGATAGAAGAGCTTAGTAAGTGCAAACTCTCACATGTTCCGCTGTGCAGAGAAGGCATTTATTATCCACGAGTGTGATCAGCAGACAAAATAGGTTCTTTTTTTTCACTTGAAGTCCTCTTTGTGATCCCTGTTTCGCTTCAGCTTCTCCCGGAACAGCTCCAGCAGGCCTCTCAGCCTCATCCAACCTGCACACAAATACCGGTACTCGAGTAAATCACCCTCACGCGGCTATCATACCGTACCTGCCACGGTGCTTGCATACATCCCCCGAACCTCATAAATGACCATGATGGGTACTGTCCGTAACTTTATTACTGTGAGCCCCTGGGAATCCGCCGAGCAGACACTCTGTTTTAGGGAATCAGACTGACAAGTCTACAGACAATACTTCTCACATTAACCTGCTCGGCAATCCTTTTTATCACATACCGCCATGCCCTCCGGCCAATACTTGTGAAGCGCAATATCATCCCTCTAAGAAATCTTCCTCGGGCGTTATCCGATACATTTTCATTGCAAGGGCGTGTCCGGCTCGGTGATGATGACAACCGAGAAACCCGCAGCAGAGATCTAGAGGAGGGCTTCAGAGACGACAGCGATGATGAAGAAACCCCAACCAGAGATGATAGGATACGAGAGCCACACCCGGGCGCTTTAGATTGAATGTTGAGAAGAGGAGAGACGGGTTATTGATCGTGACTCCGGAGGCACTGGCAAGAGGGATGGATGGAGGTTACTGGCGCGGGAAATCAGGGGGTCATCGGTGTTCAATGATATTACTTTTTCGTTCTTATCCCTAATCAACAAACATCCCATTCTCCCCTTTTCTTTGTGTGTAGGTCATTCTTCCCAATCCCTATAAGATACTACGTCTGGTCCGTCTCGAATCCACTCCCATCCGCACCTCCATCCGACCACAGTCCTTCCGATTCCCGCAAAATCTTTCCATATGTCTACCCCTTCCCAAGCCCCGCTTCCTTCCCATTCTTGCTTGACCCGATTTGCCTGTTCCCATCCCCCGACCTCAGCTACAACCGCTTGAGATCCCAACCTCTCCGCAGCCCGTCCAATGGCGGGATAAAATATATCCCCGTTACCATCTTTCGGCACCAACGCTAGCTTGGGCTCGTAGTTCCTGACGGAACGCCCAGTAGATATATTGAATGACTTTCCAGAAATGTATGGTGGGTTTGATATCACTACCTCTACCCCCTGAAGTTTTTCCCCGATTGCCTTGACCAAACTATCCACAGCTAGAACATCACCATGGAAGAACTCGATATCTTCACGTACATTAGCCAGTAGTGCATTTTTATTATGTTCAAGATTCCGTTTGCTCAATCGGAGCGCCTCAAGCGAAATATCGATACCAAGTATTCGTGAAGACATCCCTGCTGTAGATAACAGATTATGTAGAAGTAGCGGAATGCATCCCGTCCCAGTGCATAAGTCAACAATTCTGACATGCTGCGAGCGTGGGTGCAGGTGTTTAAGAATATGCCCACCAAGATGACTTGTAAACTGCTCCGTTTCTGGTCTAAAATAAAAACAAGAATCAGAAACCTAGCGATCCCGCTACCAGTAGAGCAGCAATGCGGTACGTGGAGGAAGAAATATTAATATGACACAAACCTCGGAATCAACACTCCTCTCTCACATATCATCTCCAATGTCCCAAACGGCTGGGTGCCCAATAGGTACTGCAGCGGCCATCCACGCCCACGTTTCTCGCACAGTGCTTTCAACCAATTTTTCCCCCCTCCTTCCCGCCGCCCTTCGTCGGTCAGCCAGCGCAGCTCCATGGATGCCTGTTCGATCGTTCGGCATTCCGGCAGAAGGAGCGGGAGAAGCGCATGTCTCCTCCTGGCTACTCGGATTAGTTCTGGTGTCAAGCGGGGCATTTGTGGCGGACGGCGAGTGTGGCAGTGTCAAAAATAAAATAAAAATAGATGTTGAATTAAGCTTTGCGCACGGCCCCTGGATCGGGAAAAAGGGTACCGTATTTTTGTTTTTGGTTGATTCATACCGCCGGATCCTGCTCGAGTACGGTACCGTGGTTACATCCGGGGGCGAAGGGGTTTTTATCTTAAGAGTGTATCATACTGTAGCCCTTGCTAATGGTTTGAAAACTTTGACAGATCACCGGTATATAGTAACCATTGTCTTTCGGATTTTTTTTTCTTTACACGTTGAAGTAAGGTTATTCTAAGTTTTGAAAATACCTGATTCACGATTGGTGATAGGCGTTGAGGGATTACTGTATAGTAGTAATATTATTATTATGGTATGGCCTCACCTAGCTAACGTCTATGTGGTATCATACATAGCACATAGCACTACACTAGGGTTCCAACAGTGCTTTCACCGGCGGTAGATACGTTCCACCCGCAATTTGCTATGTAAATAAGTCGCGGACCTTGTCTTCCTGAGCCGGGGAATCTAACTGTGGGAGGTCTGGGTATAATATACCGCTAAATTCACTTGGAATATACTGTAGGGATAGTTTCAATCCCGATTTGGAAAAGCTACCGTAAAGCATAACCCAGACTACAGTTTTCAGAAGGGGAGCCTAGCAACGACGAATGGCTGGATAATACATGAGAGCCCCAACTATCACGCTAACAAACTTAAATCACCACAATATATTTGCCCAAATATTAGCGAGGCCAATGCGCATCACTTGAAACCTAAATTCCCAAGTTCCATCTCCCCAGAAAATACTAGCATCGGAGAAGTCGTCTCGCCCATTTCCTATGGCCAAATATTGCTTCACAGATACCATTGCGGAAGTTCGTACGCATTACAGCAAGCAGCAGTATGGCGCAGTGGAAGCGCATCGGGCTCATAACCCGCAGGTCAGAGGATCGAAACCTCTTACTGCTAAATTTATTTTTGCAATTTTCTCGCTATGGGATTGAGGGTATGGGGTTGCGGTTTTTGTTGCCCCCCCCCCCCACCCTACATTAGAAGTGAAGTTATCCAATATATCACTCGATTTTTGCACGGGGGTTCGTTCTATTGTCGATTCTCCACGATTATTAAAGCGTTTCATGCTATCGTTCTCATCCTATCCCGCCGATAATAAACCGCTTAGGAGGCGCTAGGTTTAACATATTTCACATACCGGTAGGCAGAGGTTTCCACACAATAGGTTATATCCGGAGGTGCCGTGCCTTCTCATCACTTCTAGCGAGTTAGATAGGCTTCTACCACTTTTGCTACTCGAGTATGCCGGGCAAGTGTAAAATGAAAACCACTAGCTGCTAGTGGATCTCTACATTCTATTATGGTACAATTCCAGATCAACAAGTATTATACATGAAGCACTTTACTCCCACCTACACATCTACCTTCCCAGATTTTTCTACCACACCACGACATAATTCGCCGACAATCCTCCCATTCAAAACCGTCTCCGCCACAATCCCAGTAACATGTTTCGGCTGAACCCGTCCATACCATACGCCCAGCCCATCAGGCCGATATACCACAACGTTTCCAGCAAATTTATGTCCACTCAAATGACTTGTGAAACCCACCCGCACCTTTCCAACTCTCCCTTTCTCACCCTCATGACCTTCCAGTAATACCCCCCTCTCCGCAAGCTCCTTCTCAAACTGTCTTCTCAAAGGCCCCGCCACAAGCCCGCATCGTGTATCCCGAGAATTGTGCGAGCAGACGAGCACAACCGTTTCCATAACCTCCCTGCTCTCTAACGTAGATTCCACATCTTCTCCACCGGGCAGTAAAAACCTCCTCACAAGTTCAACAACACCCTCGTCCTCAAGGGGAATGTTTGGCAGATAAACCCCGCTAGGAAAGATATAGGCTGATGCTACCCCTCGCCCTTCTTCAACACCCGGTTCCCGTTCGAAGGAAGAATTAGTGACCAAAGTTGGAGAAAATGGGTCCCTCAAATCCTTCCGCCCGCCCCCTCTCATTGCCGTCAACTCTTTGATCCTCCCAGCTAGTCCGCCCCCAGGCTCTGCAATGTCCAACTCAATTTTCGAAGCCCAATCCGAATGACCCGTGCAAACGAGCAAGTGGCGGTAATAATTTGCCATAGTTCCCTTCAGAGAAGTGACCCTATCGATATCTAAATCTTCCGGTAAACTCTCGAGGGAGCAGGCGCAGCTCGGAGGACATTTTTCGGTGATGTGCAGGGAGGGTTGGAGAGGTGTTTTGAATGGAATTGGGATCCGTTTAGTGGAAAGGTGCACGCTGGTGTTGTAGAAGTTGCGCGACAACCGGCGGAGAGAGGAGTGGGGGTGCAGCAACAACATCTTGTGCGCTCCTTGTTGAGGTGAAGTTGGATTAGGAGTGGGGAGCTCCGTGCATTGGTGCCGTCGTCATGTTAAACCACTGCTTATTTCGGAGCATGCGTGATAGTCTTGGCGATCATACTGCAGGTCCGAGGTTTAGCTTTGGTGCTGGTGGTGAGGGCCGTGGGGCTATTTGGGGCGCCTTTGTTAAACGCAGGTAGTGGGATTAGAATAGCCCATGACTGATTCCTACCGCACAACTAGCAATTGGAAATGCGAGAGCCATTATATACAGCCCCTGCTTTATCAACAAGCAACTGGGTAAGATACTCGAGTAGGGTTGCATTGATAGCTGGGATAGTGTATTATACAGTAGTACTGATGCGGGTTGGTAGAGTAATATCAAGTTTTCCTGGGAACATGAGTGGTGTTCCTTGTTTATATTTGTGTTTTTCAAGATAGTTTACAAGGACTTTCCTTTCTTCCTAGCCTGCCATTTCTCCAGCCCTTTGGAATTGCCGCGTTGACTGTGGACAGTGGGGGCCCGCTCCCAGCAGGCATGGAAGAGTAATGCTGGCTTTATCAGATGATCTACACGAGTTTTTTTGGGGGGGGTGTAGCTTGACATCGTGATTGTCATTAATTATCACCCGGATTTTCACGGTAAGTTATGCAGAGGCTCTGGGGCACCCATGCACATTCTAGCCGGGTAACGGGTCATGCCATACCTGGGAATTATTATGTAACTTTCCGGCACCACATAATATTATCACAGCAAGTGCCGTCACCCTGAGAGAGGCCTTAATAGACGCGACGATTAGGGTAGCTCACCCTTCCCATGCCTGTCACCTGTCGGGTCGGTGCCTCGCAAACCTACGCAAACCTACGCAACCGATTTAGCTACATACAATGTCACATTCCGACATCATGATACAAACCTCCAACTTCATGTCGGGCAACACTGACGGTAATTCCGGGGGTGGTGGCGGAGGAGGCGGCGGAGGTGACACCCCTATCGTACCGTCGGAATCTGCAGCAGACCTCACAAACAGAATTCGTATCGACACGAGCAAAATTAAAGAGGAGGAACCGTCCCCCAGCTCGACGGGTGGCGGGGAAGGCGCCGGGAATGATGCTGGTGGGGGACAGCCGGGATTGACGCAGGATTCCTTAAGCTTAATGCAGCTGAAGAGGCTGGTTGTCGAGGCGCCTAGGTTAAAGGTGTGTTCGATCGATCTTTCTTTTTGCTTTACGCCCCACAGGAGAGTTTGTGGGAATCGATCAATTGGACTGTTACCATTCAAATCGGATGGTTGGACTTTCTACAGGCCCAGGCAAGGAGTATCCGAGCATTCGAGTACCAATTTGGTGCCGGCGCTCAGATGCGCAGAGAATTAGTCATATATTTTTCTAATTCCTGTGTTTGGATGCTTCTTACCTGTTCAAGTGCTTGTGCACTTGAGGAAATTTCGAAAGGAGAATCTGACAGTTACCCAGCAACCAGAATACGCTTTTCGCTACTCCTCTACAGATATTACTACTGCGGAACTAAACGAGTGGTTCTCTTATTCGCTCGCAAACGACCTCTCACTCCTGTTACTTTCTAAACAAACCTTTGAAGAAACCTACGCTGTTCTCTCGCTCCCGCCGCATCAGACAGTCGAATCACTGGTCGGCAAGCGGCCCCCGAGGTGGACTACTAGCAAAGATGTCAAGCGGAAACGTTTTATATCTCGGTGTGCGGACCTCCTAGAGCATACAAGCCAGAGGGAACGAGTAAAGGGTCTTGAGGGGTTAGCCTATGTTGTCCAGGGTGTATTTGGGGAGACTGTTTCTGAAGAAGACCATCTAGACAGGATAAAGAAAAATGTTGCGCTGGCAAGGCAGGCAGGGCTGGTAGAGGCGCTATTTAACTGTGTTCGAGGTTCTGTAGGAAGGGAATTGGAGTATGCTGCTGCGGGTAGTAGTTCGAGAGATGAAGCGAAGGAAGGGGACAGGGGATGGAATAGGAAGGAACTCCGGTACGCTTTAACGGTGTTATACTTTCTGGTGGAGGTCACCCGCCGTCATGACGAGGATGCGGGGGGGGCAATACTGGGAATGGATCAAGAAATTGAGTCACTCCGTGACGAGATTGCTGATTTGCCAGGAGAGAGTGGTCTATTGGGATTCCTAGCAAAGACTTTAGGCCGTTTGCGATGGGAGGATAGTGTCGATTTACCACTTATGAACATACTCCTTCTCACATGGAAAACTATGCTGCTTGTTTTTGGCGAGCCTGATAGACATCTCGCGAAAGTTAAGACATATGCACGCGGGCTCGCAGGTTTGGACCCGGAGGTGGGCAAGGGACTAATCACTGCATCACCCTTGGATTATCACGTGTTCAGACAAGACATTATGGCTAAATACCCCGCATACGATCCTCCAAAGCCTCTCTTTCCTTTTGAATTGGCTACAAACTCGTTTCTACCGTCCTCTGCCATTAATACTGCGGCCGGGCGAACGGGCGGAAATGGAGATGTGCTGTTGGGGGGAAAAGGTGGTGGTGAGAATTTAGGGTCTATCCTGAATAAGGCAGTTCACATTGCTACACCTGCCCCGTCTCCGCCACCGTCTCCCGGAGGTGTTGGGGGGAAAGGAGGCAAGAAGCAGAATTATCAAACGAACAATAATTTTCCTTTCTTATATCCCCCTTCCTCCTCTTCTGAGATAGACAAGAAGTTTGCCGGAAAGTGTTGGTGGAAGGAGGATGAGGAGACTTTTTCCAGAGCAGAAGGTGAGAGTGGGGTTCCGACAAGCATCAAGGAGGCTGGGGATTTATTTTCTGGGAGAGTGAGATCTACACTGGCGATGAAGCATATGTGGGATGAGCGAGAGGCATTTCTGAAATTCCAGAGAGGATGGGATGTTGATGAAGAGATCTTGAGGGAGAGGAAGGAGATCGAAGAAAGAGACCGGCGGTGGGAGGAGAAGCGGCTAGAGTCAGTAGAAGAGTTTTATGTTGGTCTACCCTCTAAACCCTTGTCTATATTTTATTTCTTGGTAGCTGTTGCTGATGTTTTTCTCCAGAGGGCTGCATTACCTCAGTTACAATCATTCGTGATTGTGCTGCTGAAAGTTATATTGGCTAATGTCAATGCACCTCCCATGCAACCACCACTTCCACCGCCTCCGCCGAGTAGCCAACAGGGTTTGTTTCCAGATAAAGAAGGTGAGCAAGGTGTCTGTAAATTGGCCAGGTTCCGTGTGGAGCTAATAAATGTGTAGATAGTGAAGGCAATAGCCAGCGAGGGCCAGCAGCTATTGACTCAACTGCTGGGAGAGTTGAATATGCCGGGTCTTCGATTAGGAATTCCTGGAATATCTTTGGAAGGGCGGTTCCGGGAGTGAGTCGTGCCAATGGAGATGGGGGGGAGGGACTAAACACTATCAGCGAGGACGGATCGGAACAGTCGTCAAATGGTTGGGAAAAAGGGAGAGAGAGAGAGCGCGAAAAGGAGCGAGGAAAGGAACGAGAAAAGGAACGAGAAAAGGAACGTGTGGAGCGCGAAGCCGACGAGAAGAGAAGATTGGACGAGGCAGATGCACAAAGGATTAGGGAGATCACTAGCAAAGCCG